CCTGAACAGTTGAAAACTACGCTACAGGCTGGGGCCCACTGGGCCCTAAAAAGTTAACGCTGTCCAAAGGGGCCCTCGAAAACGGTGGAGCGGCACCCAACGCTACGCTGGAGTGCCCCACGCGGGGCGGGCATTGGCTGGGAATCCAAGTACCCCTCGACTTATTCCAAGCACGACGGGGACTCAAAGGCCTCTCCCATCGTGCAAGGACGGCTGAGGAGCACGAGGTGTCGCAACCTCTACAGGCTACTTGTCGTTCTTTACAAGACGCACAAGCTTTCCGCGAGGGGCCCGACCTGGCTTGTTATTGAAACCCGAAGCCTTGAAAAGCTGATACAACATCTGCTCGCAAGTCACTACTTTACCTCCTCCTCCAAGAATCATCTCCAGCGGACTGCGAAGGACGGTGGCGGCGGCCTTGTCCTTTGCCTCCTTTGCCGCGTCCCCGTCCTCGAGCGTGGCCCAGCTCTCCTTCTGCTGGTTGAGAAGGTTGACGGCCATGGGCTCGGGGTCTTGGACCAGCATAGATCCCAACACCGACCGATGCCGCTAGTCCTGGGTGTTCGACGTGCCACACTCTTTGATCCACATGCTGGCCATCGGCATATCGGCCTTCTGCATCATCAACAACATTCTCTCGGGGATATCTTTGAGATGACGAACTGACTCCTGAGCTGGCCCCTGCTTGTCGAGCCATCCGCTGAAAGCGCTCAGAAGTGCGGCAAAACTCTGCAACTCTGGTGGTCCGAGCCCGTGCGTGTTCGCCTTCCCTTCCACCTTTTTCTGATACTCCTGATAGGTCGCCTTCAACAGTCCGATCTTATCGTCGTCGCTGGGGCCGTACACTACGAGACCTGCTCCGAACTCCAGCGTACGAATTCGTGACTCCAACTGGCGTAGCAATTTGGCGTTGGCGTGATTGCCGTCGTTCTCGGGCTTGCCCTTCTTCGAGCCGTCCTCTCTGTCGTTCCCGCCGCCCTCTATGTTCCTCTTGAGTGCGCTGGGAAGAAGCCAATCTGCCATCTTGCTCCGCGTAATAATCAAGGGCCTCTTGCAGGCCAGGTAGTTCAAACTCCAGGATATGTGGGTGTAGGTGCGCCTGCAAATGCTCGACCAATAGATGTCTACGGATGTCATCATTGTCGAGTCCAACATAATCGCAAGTTGGGCAGTCGTAAGCTTTTGGGAGGATAATCGTGCCATCTGTTCTCCCCCGATCTGTGTGGCATATACCTTTCAGCATACTGTTGTGCATGTGCCTCTTAGCATAATCAATCGACGAAAAAATCGAACCACAAATCACACACTGACTTGAAATACAACACATTCTGCCCAAGAGCTGCTTACCGTGCGTGCCCCCCTTGGCCCTGAGGTAGTGCGCTGCAAGCTGCTTTTTGGACTGGAACCGCTCCCCACAGACTTCCCCGTCGTCTATTAGTGCGGTGCATTGGTGAGGCCCTCCTTTTTCAATCTCCTCCTGTTTGCGCTCGTGCTGTGCGATGTTCAGGAAATAGTGTGCTTTGATACCTCCTACATCCAAACTCGTGAAATCCTCCTTCCCCTCGAATAAGATCTCCTCCAGTCCGTAAATCTCTAGAAGCCTCGCACCATCGTCGAAAAGCTCGATGGTTTTGATGTCGTCGTACAGCTGCTCACACCACGGATTCGCTCTCTCGTCCTCGCTCGTGTACTTGTCGATTTCGGTTCGGTCGTCGACCCGAGAGCGCCCGAAAACCACCGCCAGGAACTGAGCGAATCGGTCGTGTTTCCGAAGACACTGTTGAAGCCACCTAAGCCGTCGTACTCGCATCTCAACGTGCGGAGCTGCTAACCTTACTCGTGCTAAGACCTGGAGGTTGGAGAGGGTGCGGATGGTACCGTCTTCTTTTTCCTGAACAGCACCCCGCAGCAATATCTTTGCACGCATCGCGAGGAAGCTGAGGATGGGCTGCCAGTCCTGTGCTCGCATAGGCCCTGTCTTGGCGCAGAGTACTTCTGCTCCGCTGTAGCATGCATTGGCCACGTAGCCCTTGAGGAGGAGGAGGAGGAGGAGGAGGGGGAGGAGGAGGGCCGTGGGCGGAAAACAAGTCCGCATCCACGGCCCTGCGGGCCAGGCCCCTGGGCGCGACCCCGTGGATTCGGTGCGTTTCTTCGCGGATGCCCCGCGGGAAACGTATTTGTGCGGCCGCACATCCATTTGATCGCGCCCGCGCCGCACACATCGCCACCTTACGGCTTGTGATCTTGAGTCGCGGGAGTGCATGCCGAGCGCGGTCAGACGTTCTCTGGCAGGAGTACGGCACGGTACCCATACGACCACCTTTCCAGTGATGGGGAGGTTCGGGGGGAGGAATTCATCGTATCATTCGATCGATCTTACGCTCGATCTCATAATCGATCTCACTATCAATACCACTATCGATCTCACTGTCGATCTCACTATCGATCTCACAATCATCTCCCTACAACCCCACCCCCCGAACGTAGACTACCCACCTAACGTGGTCCGGACCCCGGTGACACCGAGCCCGGCCAGCGCGGATTGGGCGTGACACCTTCATTTTGGCGACCCGATTGTCTCGGAATGCTGCTCCTGTTTGCGCGTGGGCCACATCTCTGATTCAACATGGTGTTGCCGCTTGGGCGCCAGCGACATCATTCAATGAGCGCGAAGTTCTCGCCTGTTCGTGGGCCACATCTCTCATTTAGAATGTGGATTGATTGAAATTTCTGATTGAAAATGCTGCTGTCGCCTAGGCGCTGGCGACGTGCTTCACTGAGCATGTCGTTCTCGCCTTGGCGAGGGCCAGATTTTGGATCGAAAATGTGGCTGTCGCCGAGGCGCCGGCGACATCCTTCATTCAGCATGTCGTTCTCGCCTTGGCGAAAGCCCGATGTCTGATTCAAAATGTTCATGTTGCCTCGGCACCGAGGACATCCTTCATTGAGCATGTCGTTCTCGCTGTTGCTCCACGTCCATGATTGCGAGTGTTGTTGTTGCCGTGACGCCGGCAACGTCCGCGATTGCGAATGTTGCTGTCGCCCCAGCGCCAGCCAAACTCGCGATTGCGAAAGTTACTCTCGGCGTAGCGCTGGCTGTCGCTTCAGCGCCGGCCACACCCACGATAACTACTCTCGCCTTAGCGCTGGCCGCATCCACGATTGCGAAATTTGCCCTCGCCTTCGCGCCGGCCACATCCATGATTGAAAATAGTGTTCTCGCCACAGCGCCAGCCACATCCATGCTTGCGAAAGTTTCTCTCGCTTCAGCGCTGGCCAGATTCTTCATTGGAAACGAAAAGGGATTGCTGATACAGTTGGCACTTGCATGTTGCTGTGTCGCCCTGATCTGGTGCATCATTTGCTACAGCGCGCTCGTGACACACTGGTGTCGCCGAGCCGTTGGCCACGTTAATTTTAATGGGTCAGATTAGCTGTGGCGCAGTGTCGACAGGGCCTGGGTCAGGTTAGGGTAGGGATTGGCTGCGTTAAGGGGGGGGTGTATCGATTTCACTTTCGGTCTCACTATCGTTCTCCCAATCGACCTCATAATCATACTATCGTTATCACCATCGATCTCACTGTCGGTCTCACTTCGGGACACCGACTGGACACCCACGGGACACCGACCGGCGGGACACTCGCGGGACACCTTTGGCCACCTCCGGCCCGGCGGCGCCCGAGCCAGAGAAGGGTTCAATGTGCCCAAGGGGCTCAAGGGGCCCAATGCTGCGGCCGCGGCCGCCGCCATGGACGACGCCACTGGCGCCGACCTCGCGGCCGGCAGCGGCTCCGCGCCCGCCGCCTTCGGCGGGGCGCTGGACCTGCCGAGCTCGCTGCCGAGCGGCGCTGGGGGGCAGGCGCAGGCTTCGCCGCACGCGGCGGCTTCCCCAACAGGCGCTACGGCAGCACAGCGGAGACGAGTGTAGACGCCGGGGCGACAGTCGCGAGCTGTCCCTTGGGAGCGAGACGAGGTGCTTGACCTGGGCGTCGTCGCATTGTCACTGGACGACGACATGCCTGGCGCAGGCAGCGCGGTGGCAGGGGCCGATGCTGTGCCGCCATTGCCTGGGCCACCCGATCTGCATTTTTTGCCCTGTGACGAATTGCCCCAGGGCGCGGGGTGGCAGGAGGACAGGGTGGCAGGAGGAAAGGTCGCGAAAGTTGCTTTGGGGCAGCCACCTGGATTATCTCCCCAGCCCTGGATGGACAGGTTTGGGATGGTAGCTTGCCGCCATGGCGGGCGCATGGTGAGCCGAAGGTGCAACAACGGAATCTACAAAACTTGCCTGGCCCAGGAGCTGGCGCCACAACGCCACTTAGATCCACGTACACGGGATACGATCTTCCATCGATTCATGAAGAGTGCCGTGCGAGAATCGAAACCAGAGCGTTCATTGGAGCTGGTTTTTTTCAGGGCCAATGCCATGTCTGACTCTCGCCCCGACGCGTGGGCCCACGTCGGCACCGCGCACGACACAGAGGCCCATGTTCGCGCACGGTCCGCCTGGCAGGAGTGGTTCATGTCTGCGAAAACCGTTGCGCTTGTGCTCCCAGGCGGCAGGGCGAAAGAAAAACGGAACGGCAGCTCTCTTGCCAATCGCACTGCCAGGTGGTCACAGGGAAAACGTCGGTCATTGGGATGAGGCGGCGACGCAAACGGGCACGCGAGTCATCAGACGAAGAGGCCAATGCAAGACGACAAAAATAAATGATCCAGTTGGCCAGCAGAGGATTGCCGGGGAAGGCGATTAGGCAAGCCAGCAGCTTGGGGCTTGCGCCAGACACGGCTACAACAGAGCGCATCATGCGTTCTAAGTTCATCGAGCCTCCCGCGAGCCAGAGCACTAGCACGAGAGTGCCCGCCCCGGCGGCCAATGAGATCACAGACGAGAGCGTCGTGAAAACCATCCAAATCCTTTCCAGCGGGAGTTGCAGCGGGCCCGTCTGGACAGCTGCCAGACCTATACAAGCAGCTCACCGGAGAGACTGGCGACAGGATGGCCGTTGCCCTCTTCCGAAGCTTTGGCAATCTGCTCGCGTCTGGCCAAGCCCCGCCAGAGCTGCGGGCATACATCGGGAGTGCGAAGGGCACCGCGCTACGGAAGATTGCCAGAGATGGGGCAGCGGACACTAGGCCCGCGTGTTCTGGAGAAACCATTCGGCGATTTGTCAGCAAGATCATGTTAGGAACGGAGCTGCATTCGTTGGGAGAGTATTTGTTGCCGCACCAGTTTGCCGTGGGCGTCAAGGCTGGGGCCGAGGTGATGCCGCATTTGGCGCGCCAGGGGTGCGATGATGACGCCAACGACCCAGACAAGTTCTTAATCAACTACGACGAGGGCAATGCACGCAACGAGGTCGACCGCCACGCGTTCCTCACTCGCATGCGAGACATCGCCCCTGGCATTTGTAATTGGCTGGAATACATTATGTACCCGACACATGTGGCAACGTATGTTTCCTACCGGGGTCGGGAGATCGGATCGCGTGCCGGTGGGCAACAGGGGCGCCCCTTTCATAGGGCATAGGGGCGCGCCATGCTGTGGCCAAGCGCATGGTTCATGAGAGCCTGGGGTTGGTAGAACCACTGGCGGGGGCCACGGTGCATCTGCCTCGCACTGCCGAGCCCGAGTCTTTAGATAGAGCGCCACTGTTTGCAGGCGATGGGGTGGTTGCCGGCTCGTCAGGCGAGGCTTTGCGATCGCTGGCGCACATGAAACGGGTGATGCCGTTGGTCGGGCTGAGGTTTTCGCAGCTGCAGGTGACAAAAGCCACGGGCGGAGATCAGCCAGCAGAGGACTTCTCGCAGTTTGCTGCTGAAGGCTGTGACCTAATACTGAGCGGCAACATTGAAATCCTGACGTCGCCAATCGGAGACGAAGCACTCTCGCAAGAATATTGCGTGGCTTTCGCCAAGAAGCAACGGCGGACCTTGAACTTCCTGGCAGACCTCGGTGACGCCCACGCCATATTCTACTTGATCAAGTGGCGCGCGAACGGCAGCCGCCTGGACTGCATGACCCGGGCGACGCCGCGCAACAACACGCTCCCGGCGGCGACGACGTTCGACAGCGGAGTCGCCGACGCCCCGTCCGCAGTGCGCGGGCGAGTGATCTCGGCCAGGCAGCGCGCCCGCATCGCCCTCGCGGTCAAGCAGGAGCGGACTCGGCCTCCGGACGGTGGTAGAGCGGGTGGACGCCGCCCACGTCGCGCCCCGGTCCGCCACCCACGCCCTCTGCGTTGGAATCCGCCCGGGGCGCCGGGGTTCGGGCGCGGCCGCGACCCGCTGCTGGGCGCAGCCGTCGAAACGCAAGCCCCGAAACTGCTGGGCGCGAGTGTCCAGGGCGAGGACTCCGCTGTCGTCGTGACGCAGGCCAAGCTCAGCGACGACGTCGACGCACGCGATGCCCCCGCGTGGAGGGAGGCCGCCGAGCCCGTGGAGCTAGTGCGCTCGAGCGCGCACTCAGCCCCTGGAGGCGGGCAGGAATTGGATCTGGCACCATCGACGACGCTTTGCGCGCCACTTTTGCCGGGCGATTCGCGACTGCTGTTGCCCTTCGTCTTGGAATCGACGTCGTGGATGGGAGCGCCCCTTGCCCGTTGTGCGGTGAGCTGCTGGATTCTGGGGGACTGCGCGCAGTGTCGCGCATGTCCAGAGGCGACGCCGCTGCCCAGCACAATGGCGCGAGACGTTTATTTTGATCTCTGCGAGCGGGCTAGGCTCCTCCCGCTGAGCGAAGCACCGCGCGCGCTGCAGGAGGTGCTCGGTCGGGGCAACAGACGGAGGCCAGCTGACATGCTGCGCATCCCCGCGCTGGCATTGTCCAGGCGCCCCCCCGATGGTTCGCGCACCATTCGGACAGAGCCTGTCTGTTTCGATCTCGATGTCATCAACGCCTTGGGGGCCGGCCGCTGGCGCGACGCAGCTGCAGGGGCCGGTGCAGCGGCGGAGAAGTACGACCAGAGGAAAAGAATTGACCAGAACACGGAGCAGCAGCGCACGGCAGCCGGTTGTCGATGCCAGCCCGTCGTCCACGAGAAGCAGGGCGGGATGGCCGCGGCCGCTTGCGCGGCTGTCCGGGCCATCGCGGCGGCGGTGGCCGCCCGGGAGCGGCTGGGGGCAGCTTCGGTCAGGAGGGGGTTTCTGTCCCGCGTGGCGGCGGTGACCGCTCGCAGCGCGGCCAGGGCCATCAAGGAAAGGAGAGCCGTGAGACCGGCAGCCGACGCGCCGCCAGCAGTTCGGCAGATCATGCGGGACAGGGGCGGGCAGGACGACGCGTAGACAGCCCGGTTGCCCTTCCCACCTCCCCGCTCTTCCCCCTGCGCCTCCCCCTCCTTCCCTCCTTCCCCTCAGCGCGAGTTTGATCATGTACCTTGGGGTTGTATGCGAGAAGGCCTTGCGAGGCCCGCTTCCCAGCCGATCGGCGGCCTGCAATTTTCCAGGCGCAGGCGCTGACGTCTTGGTGTTTTTTTGGCCCGTCTCCTTTCTCATTCCTC